TTTTTAGTGACTTCCAACCTGAGGGGCTCATTTTCCGGCACTATATCTGACAGTGTTTCTCTGCGATTCATAAGATTTTCAGTCACTAAATATTCAGAAGTAGTTCGTCACTCCTTCTTCCTAGTCTATCTTTGTCTGGAAGCTCATCTGAAACCTGTCCACCATGGGTGACCCTGCTGGTATTTAATATATCCGTGCCATAGCTTCCAGAATCACAGCACCTCACAGGCCACCACAGTACGACAAACTGACTGTAGTAGTTGTTGCTATTAAGTGCGTTCCAGTCAGTTCAGAGTCAGAGCAATCCAGTATAGGGTTTCTGAAGAAAAGTTTGTGGGTTTGAACTGCTGACCTTGTGGTTCACAGTCCAGTGCTTATCCTACAGTCCCACACCAAGAGTTGACTATAGTTAGTTAGCCCTAATGGAGTCCTGGTGTGGCGCTGTAGGATAAACACTGGAATGCAAACTCACCAGCTGTTCCTCAGAAACCCTATACAGGATTGCTGTGACTTGGAACCAACTCATTGCCACTTAACGACAACAACAACAACAACAACAACAACAACAGCAACAGCTACCCTTGAGCCCACTGGGACTCATGGCGCGTTCTTGTGTTGCAGAGTAGAACTAGCAGAGCTTCAGAGGGCCTGGTGGTGGCGGTGTGCCGTGAAGTCGGTTCCAACTCACAGCGGCCCTGCATAGGGTTTCTGAGGCTGTAAATCTTTACAGGAGCAGAAAGCCTCATCTTTCTCCTGCGGAACGGCTGGTAGTTTTGAACTTTTGACCTTGAGGTTAGCAGCCTGACTTGTAACCACTATGCTACCAGAGCTTCTTTTGGAGGGGTTACTTGGCAATCTTGGTGGAAACCAATTTCTAGGTCTAGCCTGTGTGATCTGCTGGGTGGGCTTGAGTTGCCAACTTTTAGGTTAGCTGTGGAAACCGTTTTTGCCACCTAGGGGCCTTCAATGTCTTTGGGGGTCCCCTGGGAGCTCATGGCAGCCTTGTCCCTGCAAACGACTTCCGGGAGAACAGAAGGGAGGGGCTGGGGGCAGCAACACTTCTCATCCAGATGTTTTATCAGGTGGGTGTGGGGTGGAGGTACTCACGGTGTTGACTTGGGCACGGGTAGCTTGGCACCCAAAGTGGGTGGCAATCACTGCGATGAAGAATTCCAGGATGGTGAAGATAGTCAACACAGCCAGATAGCCTCTGCCCACATCCTGAGGACCAAACACTCACAGTCAAGGCAAGCCAAGAGTTTTGGAACCGAGGAGGAAAGGGCACCCTGGAAGGAGAAAGAACCTGCCCAAGGTCACTGAGTGAGTTGGTGGCAGAGCAGAGCTGTCCCTAGAACCCGACCTTCTGCCACAGGTCCTGTGCCCTCCCCCCATTCCTGGGGAGTGGGTCATAGGGCTAATATACAAGTACTCATGGGGTGTATGGGACTGGGAGGTCTTGCCAGTGTCAGACCCCTGAGCTTCTTCTTGCTGTGAACGCTCAGCTCCCACCCCTTCTGGGATTCATTCGCCCCCATCTTTCTCCTAGTCTCCCCAGTCCTGGAGGTGTTGTACAACACACCCAGTTAGTAACCCCAAAATCCATGAGCAGAATGGCTGTCCCAGCAAAGGCTGCCACGGCACTGAGGAGATTGGCGCCCAGGCTGCTCCTCACCTGCAAGAGGGAGAGAAATGAAGGAACAGGAAGGACACCCCAACACCTACCCCTCCCACGGCAGCCTAGGAGCAATGGCAGGGCAGGGATGCTCTTCCCTGGAATGTCACTTCTGCTGTGTCCCTGCGTCTATCATCCTGGAAGCCACTGGGAGGGAGAACCTCGGTTCTTGTTCACCCCTTACAGTGGCTCTCTTCCCCTCTCCTCTATCCCTGGGCTGAGTACCCTGCAGGCTGCTGACACCTGTCCCAGGGGCCAGGTTAGGGAGGCCCCAGAGAAGCTGGAGATGATTTGGGGATGGACTTGGGGAGGAGGGCTGTGAAGGAGAGAACCCAGCTAAGGACTCAGGGCCCAGATGCCAAATGGAATTTATTTGAAGGATAACCCGAGGTCCATCCGGATTTCTATGGTCTCAGTACTTTGCTCTACAGAACCGAGCAGTGTTTTGTTCCATTGTGTATAAGGTCATTATGAGTCAGAACAGACTCGATGGCACCTAACAACCTAACAGTCAGAATCAACTCAGTGGTAGTATAGTGACTTTTCACTTTGGCCCCTTCCTAGACCTGTGCTCTGGTTGAGTGGAAACACAGCCGTGGCCATCCCCACGCTATCTCACATTCCTCTCTCTGCAGTTTTAGAGTCTATGACCATTGCCATTCCCTTTTTTGGGTGCCTCCTTTCTCTGAACAACCACAGGCCCCCACTCCCTACTCTGTGTTGTAGTTTCGAAAGGGCATTTCTGGTCTTGCCCTCTGGGGTTGTCTTGTGTCGGGTCTCTCTCCTCAGGAGGTACTTGTTTAATGTGTGTGTGATGGGGGGGGGTGAGGGGGTGTCTTTGTGGAGCCCAGAAGCCCGGAACCCCTAGGTCCACTGCACAGACTTACCAGACAGCTGGTGTGATTCTTCTCTGCAGCAACAGAGAGGGACCCCGAAATGATGAACTGTGAGGAAGAGGTGACCCAGTGAGACTTGTGCTGTTAGACTCTCAGGGGATGCCGCTCATGGTGGCCAGAACCCGAGGAAGGCTACAAGGTACTGCAGGTCAGGTTTGGATGAGGGTTGAGGTTTAGACTCCAGGTCATCAGGTGGTTAGCCTCCTCATCCCTGACCCACACCCCGTCTGCCCACCCCCTCTGGGAGCTTCTCTAAGGCAGGATCTTTTTGGGAACTGTCTGTCATGAGGGTGGGATTAGGATTAGGTTTATGATTAGGGTTTGGGGTTAGTGATGTTAGATTTAGGTTCAAGTTCTTCTCAAGTCCCTGTGTGATGCTAACCGAAATGCTGGGGTTTCAAGTCTACCCAGAGATACCTTGGATAGAGGTAAAGGTCTGGCAATTGATTTCTGAAAGATCAGTCGTTGAAAACCCTATGGAATGCAGTTCTAGTCGGAGACAGTGGAGTCACCATGGGTAGGAACTGACTCATGTAACTGTGTCTCTCCCCCCCACCCCCAGTTCTTCTATAGATGCCCTCAGACTCCCACCTTGGATGGGCTGTATCCAGGAATGTGGGGGTGGGGTGGATTGAGGGGGATAGGTAAGTCTGCGCATGGCCCACACTCACACAGGCTCCTCCCCAGAAGGGGACACCGCCTTCAATGAAGAGCATGGCTACATGGCCACGGCGGACCATGAGCAGCACGCTGCCGAAGCCCAGGTGGATGAGGCCAATGAGAATCTGCACCGTCTATGGAGAGAACGAGAGGCTCAGTGGGGCCAGGGAGCCAGCTCCACACTGCCGTCTGCAGGCCGAGAAGAACCAGGCAGTGAGTGAGGCTCAGCAGGACCATGAGCTAGCTCCACACTGCCATCTGCAGGCTGAGGATAGCCAGGCCAAGCATGGGGCTCATTTGGTCCATGAGTTGGCTCCACACTGCCCTCTGCAGGATGATGAGAACCAGGCTGGTAGTGGGGATCGGTGCGGCTAGAAAGCCAGCTCCACACTGCTCCCATTGGCTGAGGAGAGCCAGGCCAAGATGGGCTCAGCTGGGCCATTAGTCAACTCCACACTGCCCCCTCCTGCTGGCCAAGGGGAGCCGGATTGAAAGCCGGGCTCAGCCGGACCACAGAACCAGCTCCACACTGCCACCTGCAGACAGCACCTGCCCTGCTCAACTTCAGTCTGGAAACAGGAAAAAAACTCAGATTTTTTTGCATTTCCCACTTAAAAAATGTATTTTAGCAATTTGAATGTGTCCCCTCAAATGCCTATGCAGGGAGGGGGTGTGGTCATCAGTTTCAAGGTCTGCTCTGAGGTTTGTTGTTGTTGTTGTTGTTATGTACCGTGGAGTCGGTTCTGACTCATGTCGACCCTGTACAGTGTTTCCGAGGCTGTAAATCTTTATGGGAGCAGAACACCTTAATCTTTCTCCCTCAGGACAGCTGGTAGTTTCGAACTGCTGACTTTGTGGTTCACAGCCCGATTCATAACCACTACACTACCAGAGCTCGGATCTGGTCACCATCTCCAGAGCCTTCATACAGCCATAGGCAAGGTGCAGTCTTCATGGTGCAGTGTGTTCATGCCAGGGTAGAAGTGGGCTTGAATGGAGAACTTTGGGTCAGGCCATCCTCTGTTATAGGATGCCACTTACCCACTGTATGAGCTGGGGCATGTGACTTTACCTTGTCAAACCTGTTTCCTTATCTGTTCACTGGGAACTGTGATCCTGTCTTCCATCCTGGCTTTTAGGAAACTCTATAAAGGGTTGTTATGCATCCGAACTGACTCAATGGCACTTAGTGTTGTGGGCCAGTGCTGCTGACATTGCACTCAGAAAGCCTGGGCCACAAAGACTTGGGAGATAATAATAATTAAATGATGAGAGAATGCACACAAAGTCCTTAGTGTTGTGCACAGATCTTCCGGAAGCACCCCACAAACGACATTGTCATCATTATCAACAGCAGTATTGCTTAGGCTTTGTTTTCATCTTCCTGAAGATCAGACTGAAGCCAAGGGACAAGCTAAAGACACCACAAACACACACACACACACACACACACACATACTATCTCTCTTTCTCTCTCAGAGTCCCTGGGTGATGCAAACAATTAAAGCACTTGCTTACTAATTGAAGAGTTGGAGGTTCTCGTCTACCCAGAGGTGCCTTGGAAGAAAGCCCTAGAGATGCACTTCCAAAAACTCAGCTGCTGAAGACCCTGTGGACCACAGCTCTACTCTGA